AACACTCCCACCCAACTTAGTGTCGTCTGTAATATATAAGTGTGTATATATATATATGTATATATAAGTATAATGTGAATACACTCAGTGGGATAAATTAATGTGGTGTAAATCTTTTAAAATTATTTTTACTTGAACAACTTGAAAATAAAAGTTAATTCAAATGTTTCATTTTAGATTAAACTTGAGGGTATTAAATTTTATTTTAAAAATCCTGACGTGGTGGAGGAAGAAAAACTACATAAAATAAGCACAATCAGAAATTTAAGATTCAGATACTCTGTTAGGTTCTTTACAAAATATTCCTTGAATCATTACACATAGAGCGTCTTAGCATGCACTGCAAAACAATTGTTTGTTAGATCAAATTACTTGTCGTGCATAGCTGTGTTAATATGGCACTGTCTAAACAAACCAGAAGGGCAAGGAACATTAGCTCAGGACAAATTGTGAATTTTGAGAGCTATTTCTGGTACCCATGATAGTGCTACTGCAGATACAGATGACTAAGCAACATTACTTGGTTGGACGACGTTGCTGATTAACACAGTAAGCTAGAAATGTACATCTCTGGCTCTCAGAGCAAGACGTTTTACAGGTGTTTAAAGGTTTCAGAGGTTTCAGGAAAAACAAGATAGAAAGAGGTCTATTCCTGTGGTGAAGTGCTACACGTGCTTTGGCAAAGCTTATGAGCTTTAATTAGGTTTCTCTAAAAATCAGAGTTTTTAAGCACAAGAATTGACTATCTTGATAATTTGACCATAGAAACAGATGTTGAATGAATGGCCAGAGATCTTCTCATCTCCCACTATGACTTTATATCATTTAATACATAGGAGACCCTTTCCAAGGAATAAATCTTCACTAGAAACAAAGAGAGGAAATCAGCTGAAATTCTTTCGTATTTTGAAACTCCTGATAGAAAGAAGGATCTTAAAACAAGGTAATATCAAAACCACTTCATACAATAAACTAAGCACATTTGGAATATATTTTTCAAAACTTATTTCTGTAAGAGACTTTCAACAAAACCTCAAAAAAATCCCTACCCTTTCACCTTTGCTGTCATTCCCTTTACTCTTTTTAGATGTTTTTTCCACTTCAATTACTAGTTTGACTTCCTTCTTCAGGATCAGATACTCGAATGTAGTTAATTCCAAAGAAAACCCTGAGAAGTTAAGGCCCTGTTTTCACAGCTTTTCCTATTCTACCAAAATGATTCTGCTTGCTTCAGCCTTTTGGGGACAACACTTAAAATCAGAAAATTTATTTATATGACAAAGCATTTTAATTTCTATGTGAAAAGACTCAATAACAATTCATTTGCATTTGAACAATGTCATGGCTCCCTCTAAAAGGACTGCCAGCAAAAAGTTATAGTGTCATTAAAAAAGTTTCTGCAATGATTAGTGCCTCATGTTTTATGACATGCAGAATTCAGCAGTTTCCTTTAAGTACAGGTATTTTTCTGCATCACTACCATTTTAAATGCATAGTGACTAAACAATAACTTGTAGTTTGTTAATGAATATGAAATTTCTAAATATGGATAACACATATATACTGCATCCATCCTTAGATACTTTTGAGTTCAACAAAAGATACTTAATTATTAACCTCATAAGCTTAGACTAAAGAGGAATTTATATTTTCCTCATAAATCTTACTGTTTTCTACATAAGTAGCATCTCATTTTTGCAGAGGGATTTTATCTCAAAAAATACTCTTTCAAATATGTGCTAACATAGGTTCAAAAGCAATACGTCACATTTGTTACCAGCAGACTAGTACACTCTTCTTCCTCTTAAATGCTCTTACATGCTTACGTTTCATATGAAAGAAACATTGTATTGCCACCAATTAAGTTTTCTACCCTCTCCCCCAGATTATTTAGAAAAGAAACCTCTGAGACACTAACACAAGGCAACATATATTTATATTAAATGGGAGATTTAAAAAAATTACTGCTCTCAACTTATAACATGAAAAATACGGACCAAATCACAAG